AAATTATATTATTCCTCTATATATAGAGGCAAAAGTAGAGAATTGTTGTTTTTTTCTCTATATTATAGCAATTCCTCTAAAATAGAGACACATTGAAAAAGAAATAGAGAAACTATATAATTTTCTCTATTTTAGAGATAAAAATAGAGATATACATTGGAGATGGTCTTATACCATTGTTGCCAAAAGCTTCTTTAAGCTCACAGTTCAATGAAATATTGGGCATATATCACCATACACTAATACACAGCAAGTAAGAAGTTGTGTTCAATATTCACTGAATTATAATCACCAAAAAAAGACTAGAGAAAAGAAAAACAAAAACACTTAAAATATGAGCAACACTAAACATTCACATGCATGTTAGCAATAAGGGTGCGTTGCTACATAAGTTTGTCAAGCTTCTACATTAGTTGCCATCAAAAAATTCATAAAAAAAATGTGAATATTATAAAATATGCCATTATTTCTAAAATTATTTACAAAATATGCCATTATTCTGATTTCTTACAAAAAATGTCACAATTTTGTTTTTTATCGCAAGCAAAATGATATTTTTACTCCATATCATCTCTTCCACACATTTATTATCCACACTTTATCTTTCTTTTCCTTTTTTTTTTGAAAACCAACTCTCTCTCTCTCTTTTCAAAGATGGAGGATGGTGGTGACTGTTGATTGAAACGAGACGGTGAAGAAGACGGTGACGGAGACTGTGGACATAAACATAAACGGCGACGAAGGACGAACGACGAAGGACAATCACAGAGAAGGTGGTTGCGACAGAGGACAGTGACTAAGACGGTGGTTGCAACGGAGGACGAAACGGAGATAGCGATGGAGGATAGAGACAGTTCGGAGAACGTAAACGGTGACAGTGACGGAGGACGGTGACAAAGACGGTGGTTGCGACGAAGGACGAAAACGGAGACAGTGACGAAAGACATAAATGGAGATAGTGACGAATGACATAAATGGAGACAGCGACGGAGGACAGTGCCGGAGACGGTGAACAAGTGGTGGCGGTGGTGGACAAAATCAGACAGCGACGGAGGACGGTGACGGAGACGGTGGACAAGTGGTGTTGATGGACAAGTGGTGGACAAAAACTTTAATGGTACTCATCACTAAGGGCAAATCCGTCATTCCAAGTCTTTCAAATAGTGAATTGTGGCATTTTCTACAAGCCATCAGATTTATGGCATTTTTTGTAAGAAATTTGCCTAAAATGGCATTTTTTGTAAAATTCCCAAAAACATTATACATAGGCAATACTTTCGACGTATTTTGGTGAAAAATATAGATGCAACATTCTCCTGCGAGTCCACCATAACGTCGCCTAAACTCTTCACTATCTGCAATTCCTAGGAGCCTAACTATTCTCATGTCTTTTCTTTCTACATGGTAGTAGAAAATGTAAAAAGGTTGAACATCGCGAGATAGATATCTTAGGGCAAAAATGATTTCACCAGCCTTGTTGGTCCCCGGGGAAAACACATCCTTACCCATCCCCAAAGAGAAGGGAAGCTTAAATTTTTGCAATAGAAGCTAACTTTTCTTTGTATTCTATCAATATCGAATCACCTTCGCAAACCACAACATTCAAAGGCGCTTTGATAAAACTTATCTTCTCATCTCTAACATTAAAACACACAATTACCAGATT